GTGCAAAACGAAAATCGTTTGTCGAACCTCACGAAGTTGAGTACTAGGATATGAACGTCTAAGAGGATAGTTAAGCTGCGATTAGGCGTGCGGTGACCCTTTGCCCTTCGTCCTTCAACTAGCCTAATAACCTAGGGGGCAATTAAACAAATAGAGCAACCGGTTTCGAATCCACGCTTTTCTCATCCAGTTCTACTACAAATTGGAGCTACGTTTAGTATACAATGCAGTAATAGTATACGATACACTATAATCGGCAGTACTTTAAATATTAATAAAGAGTTCGGCGAAAAATTTTTTTCTAACAGTCGAATTGTTAGGTAAATGAATGTGATACGTAAGATCGGTTAATAGAACAAATAAAAGATCAGCTGCTATATAACTTTTTACCAAATAAAATTACATTTCAAACATAAACTTGCCCGACAAAATCAAGGTCAGCTATAGAGCTTAAAAAATTATGTTCACTTGAGTCTTGCCGTATAAAGGATAGAATGTCAACAAGCCCATTAAACATCTCCTATGCTAACTTATTGAGGGTGAGTTAAGTTACACGAGAACTACAGTTCTTCACAGAACACGAAAGAAAATCATCCATAAAAGCACGATTCAGGCTCGTCAATATTTACGACACTAGAAGCTGTTTTAACATATAATTGGTTTATCAGTCAAAATCAGCTGGAAAAATGTCGTCTTTCTTTACCACCGGAAACACTAACTTACTTGACTTGGTTAACAAATTAACATTGTTACATTCAATAATATGAATATCATCACTTTTGGACTACAAATTTTGTCTTTCCTCATGACAATTGAATTCGTAGAAACAAGGCGGACGAACGAACCTTAATAGTTAGAGAGGTACACGATGATCCACCTTTACATTGCACTCTATAAAAACATTTATTACAAAACTTCAAAGGTTCATCCCATTTTATCCACCCGTAAAGATTATCAATTACAACACGTTCCTGTTTATAATTATCCCACCATAAGCCACGATTTTTGTAGTAAACTAACCCAAATTTGTTAGCTGTTCTATTGCTTCTCCCCGATTTGCCTGTTTCTGTTGGTCCCTATACGACGATCAACTTTGTTTTGTGGCTTCTTGGCTGAATAGGCGCCGCTAGAGCGTTGATTTTTTTGAAGTCTCGCCAATATTTAATGAATTGGCAAGGGCAAGTCTAAGCCACCAGGGCGTACCCCCCCCCCCCCCTGGTCAGGAAAAGTTGTAGACGGGTCGCATGTATCATGCAGGTCTTCATGACGAGGTATCCATTTGTCAACGCAGCCTTCCTCGAAGAAATTTCCCTCCTTTTTGCAGTAGTCGGCTGCTGGTTGGCTGGGGGCTCGAGCTATTTCGAAATGTGCACGACTTGAAACGAGTTGTTTCAGTTGGGAGAGTCTAATCGGATTCCTATTAATTAAAAATCCTTATAGGTGTGGTGTTCAGGTTGATGCTATTTCGAATCGGCAGATAATAAACTTGAACAGTTTAGCATTCGTTTTGACGCGTTGAATGTCTTTTCCAGAGTGATTGTTGACGCTAAAATACTACCGGCGTCCAGAAATGGGTTCGTTGCTGTGACCTGTCATGGCTGTCCTATGTGTTGCTTGTCCTAGGCGCGAAGGGCTATAAATATTACCCCTTCGAGGGACGGGACGTGCGAGATACACTTGCCCAGACAGATTACCCTCCCCCTCTTCTGGACGTTTCCATAAAAGTGGGTTATCTATATAAGTGGCTAGCACTCAAGGTAACAAGTCGCTTAAATATTCGGGAATAATTACACACCACCATAAATGAATGATATTTTGAGGAAAGATTTACAGTTTTCGAAAGGCGAAAAATACAATGAAACTATCTTTTCAGGATATAACAAGCGGCATAATCCAAAAGCGTTTTTGTTTAGCCACTCGTTCGTTTGCTTCTAAGTAGTCTTAAACGTATATCACCCAGTGACCAACTCCTAATTAATTATTTGCAACTAATCGCAAAGGAAACCGGATGATTTTAATAGAGCGCTTACATGTAAGGATCGTGACCTCTACCGCAATGGCCAATCATGTCCCGCATTAAGTCTTGCTAATGCTAACGCCGTAGGTTCATATTTGTGTAAGAGTTACTTGCTACGGTACTGTGTACATATATTTACTCAGCTTATAAAGCTAGATATTTACTTAGCAGGCGAAAACTAAATCTGTATGTTGGAAGGTAAGCGAAAATGCGCTATGCGCTAAGTTTTATTTTAAAAGCAGTCAATTTTAAGGGAGCGTTAATAATGCTGAAAATTATTTACCACAATAGAAGAAGGTAAAGATGCAGGTCCAACGTTACGATACATACATAGAGCCATGTCGATATGTGTAAAACGTTTAAAATTCTGTTTTTAAATATGACAGTGCGCATATTACCTTACTTATAATAATGCGTCTGTAATAATAATAGGGGCGTTGGTGGGAAAGAAAGAGGTCCATTGACCAGAGTTGTGCCAAGCACCAAAAAATATTACCCGTGGTAATGTGACGGCTTGACGGGTGACGTGTTTGCCTGTTGGGCCCGGGGACACGTTGTGGTCTAGAGTTAAACCCGAGCGTAGGCACACTTCGTTTTGTGCTGGGCACCAGGTATCTGATCGGACGCCTAACGGCGGTATTGGGCGTAAAGCTCAAACCGTAGAACCACCAAAAAATAAATTTGTGCTCTGGAAGAGCTGGTAGTCCACCACGGTTCTCCGAACGAATGTGTGGGGTGAAGAGTGCAAAGGATCAATGTGCGAGCTGCATTTCTTTAGACTACGCCTGATCTTAAAGTAGCAGCTGCTATACTCACAGAACTGCTGTTCTTGTACCCAGGTTAACCCACTGTAGCCAAACCATCCCTTAATGCTTCCTTTGAAATTCACTGTTCACGAATTTACAATTGCTCGCGGTGCCTCAGCTTGCAAGCCCACTGTGGATCCCGAAGTAACAATGATTGTCGTGGTGTTACCATGTAGAGCGCGCAGTAGTTTGTTAGTTCGCCTGAGCTACGGCCACACGAGATGTCTTAGTCGTCGATTTCGTAAAAGACAAAGCTCGTCACACCCTATTGCGTACCTTATAAAGAAAAAAGATACAACAGTTTCGGTTCTAAGGAATTCTCGTAAAAAGCAATATTCTCCTTCAAAAAATGTTCTTCTACTTTATCACGGTTGTTCGCTAAAACGGAGTGTTTCTGTCAAAGACAAACGGCGAAAATAACTTGACGCTGACGAGAGTCCTATGGAAGAAAGAATAAAGATAGCAGGTGGAACATTTGTTAGGCTTCTTAAACCTCGGACCCGCGTTTTTCGTCGTTTCGACCTTTTTTCGTCAGCAATACCGTAATAAATGCATACTAGCATTGAGTTAAAGGTTATAAATCAACGCTGATAATTAGCGCGGTAAAGTTCAGCATAGAACACAATCAAAACGTAACAAAGGAGCTTTTCTATTAGCAGAAAATTACTAGATGACTATAATAATTTTGATTGTGCATAATATCAGTATTAACAACTGATCGTTGTTTTTACAGCGGCATAGATTTTTAACTAAATAAAAAAAAATTCCAAATGGGTACTGCCTAATGTTTACGTAGCTTTACGTAGAGCCAAGAGAACGGTTGATAACGGCACCTAGTGCCTCACTTTTCGTCTTTATGTTCCCAATATATATAATTGTGCATACTATTAGGTTGCAACAAGCGAATATGGTGGTCTTGGAAACAGAATAATTGCTAAACTAGTTGGGCTGGAGTAATGCTTTCTCAACATATGTTATTTCTTACACATGTTTCCCAGCGCTTCAGTAGCTTCTGGACAGCCATCTATCCACCATTCGGGTTCCCATATGCTGTTTCTTTATCCGTAGCTTCTCACAGTAAATCGATAGTAACATGTGCTTGCCTACCAGTTGCTTCATGTAGGCCAACGAAAGCCTTGTAATCACACGGACTTGGATTTTGACAGTCGGCGGATTCAGGTCAACGTGGGACATGTCTAGGCTTCATCCAAGCAGTAATTGAGATATGGCGATGAGGCCTAGCATCGTCACTAAGCAACCATACCGCGTGCTTTCGACTGTCGTGTCCCTGCTACGTGAATCTCTCGAGGAAGTCGAGACAGCGGGCTGCATTCGTTGTTTTATTCTCGTAGTAGCAGATGCCCCTAATGTTTATCGAAAGCATTACCATCACCTTACGTGTAAACCTGCTCAGTATTGCCGCCAAACTCGATTTATTCCCAGGGCGACGCCAATTTCTCGCCTGGTTCCTCCCCGCCTGCCGGTAAAGATTGGATCATGCATTGTTTATGACGGCCGTATGCTGTAGGTGGGTTTCCCTTATTATAGATATTATATTCCCTTATTATATAAGGCTCTGCGGATCGCACGTGGGAAGACTAAACGCATTTCTAACTTACCTGAAATCAATTTTTACTTACAATTTTCGCATTTTTAGTATTTGGGTTATTATTCAGTAAGACGTTACATGCGATATGCAAGCTTTGGCCAACAGAAGCTTTATATTCCGAGCCCTTTTGTAAAAAGTTTCGTCGATTGCGGCAATACGTTCTTGTTCTTCAGTGCCGCGATATCTGTGTACGTACTCGGTGGTCGTCAGCAAGCCAGTGTTCGTTTTTGAAATTTTTTAACTATTCACTATTGTATTTTCACCTAAACCGCCCTTGCTCAACGACTCCTTTGATTTTCGATGAATTATCGCAGCGGTATAACCACTGAGGAATAAAGTTGAGCAAGAATCGTTGGTTTTCTTTGCGGATTCATTTCTCCCATGCAAACGGGTTTTCACTCACTAGTTTCTAGAAGACTAGAGCGTTTTTCAAAGAGAAATTTCCTCTTCGAGGTGCGCGAGCTTTGTAAGTTAGTTAACTTCAAAGAACGCCGGCTTCGCTTGTAACAGTCTGATATTTTTTCCACACATACTGCACAAACTTATTGTACTCTCTGTTTCTTTGCAGATATGGCGTGATGTTCTGCTGCATCATTGAGCTCGATCAGCTATTGTACGACGGGTTTTGGTGAGTTCACTTTAGGAATATTCATAATACATATGATTAATACTGACAATGCAGAGTTTCAGTACCGTAACGATCAGTCTCGCTGCCGGTTAACAATGTAGCACCTTGAATGAACTAGAGTGCTTTGCGTGTTTCTCATAATAGAATTTGATTTGGACAGTACTTCTGGAGAGTAGAGTAGAAAATAATGGCGGCATTATAACATAAATGGGTTAGATTCGCTTTTCGAATTTATTTATCGAATTTATTGTATTATTTAGTGTCGTAAACTAATCCCTCTTCTAGGTATTTGAAAACGAGCTTGTAGCCTGTCTTCGAAATGTCTAGATCCCTGTCTGGAACATTTTCGATGGTTCTACAGTGGGCGTATGTTGCAGTGAAGTCGATAGCTACCTCCGCTTCCCCTAGTCAAGTGGTTTCCCAAAATATGGCTAGCTCTATTTTATTCAATTATGTAAATTGATCTGAGGATACTGATGAAGCTAATGTAACTAAAAGTTAATGAAAAATAATGTAGTACCACACCGTAAGACGCGTCTGCTGCAGGTTATTTCTCATTCCGATCGGGGACACGTCATTGGGCTTCTCTGGAAGTCTTTTGTTAGTTACTTCTGCCATTCACGATACGTAAACAGCAGCTTTCAGCAGGGCAGCCACAACTGGGCTATCAAAATTTGAAGAGACCTGACCTTTTTACTATTCAACTAATCAATGTATGTGCTTAATTTTCGTTTAGGTCGAATACCTATTTCTAATTATTCATTTATTTATTATCAATTATTAGTTTTACAACAAGCTTTTCTTCGCGCGACATGCATCGAAATCTGTAAGCATGCACTCTCGGCTCGATCCAAGGGTTTTTCATAGTGATTCACATATTTCCTTTTTGTTTTGCTATGGTTCACAGTGACTTAAAGGAAATTTTGCCCCGCGGAAAACTGGACTGTTTATCGGGTGCTTCTTTGGCGAACGATTTTGTGTCGTGATTGATTACCGTCGGGGAGGGGGGCACTGCGGACGCAAGGAAAAGAGAAGGGAAGGGAGAGTTTGCCCCGAAACCACTACCCAGAATAATCGCATATGATAAAGGGTGTGGCCATGAGGTAAATGCACAGTATCTTTATATATAAAAGATCATATAGGCTATGCCAGGCAAGGGCAGCAGCTGCGGTTACCATTCAATTAAAGGAACAACGGAAGTAGACTTGAAAGACAAAAACGCACCACAATAACCTGAGCAGGGTACAGTATTGAACCCTGACGCCCCTCCAGTTCCAATTTCATTTTAAGAAATGGAAAACAGATAAGAATGACTGGCGTGCACGATTTTATCGGGCAAACGAAAGAGCGGAACCGATAGAAAAAGAAAGCCGAGACCCACCTGTATGCAGGCTTAGACAAGGGTAAAGGAAATAGGGTTGGAGAGCCTTGCTAGGAGGCAAACTCAGGTGAAACCTGTTGGGTTCTAAAAGCCAAAACTCACAAACGAATGAGGATCTGCGCCCTAAAAAAACGTCGTAATGTTGGCAAGCAAACTTGGTTGCACTACGTAGAGGTCTAAATAATAGAAGCTTCAAGAAGACCTTAAGATTATGGCCGATGACGTCAGCACGGACTCATGGAAGTGCTGGATGAGAGAGATAAATGAATCATAAATGCAAGAGGTGCAAAGAAGAACTAGTGCGCCATTTTCAGCCTGTTTGAAAAACCGACTATTACGAGCTTGATAAAATAAAGGTGATGATGAGTTGATGAAAAAAACATATAGCCGCAACGATGGCATGGTAAAAGAAATATGGAATAGCATAACAAAATACTGCTCATTATGTGAGAAAAATCATATAAAGCTATATGCGAAACTATATCTGCTTACACTCAGAGAGAGGTGAAACAGAGATTTTCAGATAATACATTCATTGCGTTACAATCACGTTATCAATACGTGTATCTAACAATGAGACTCATAGTGACCAAAAGCTACCATCATAACAATACGTTTCAAAAAGGATAAAAACGCCCAGTTTATACACATCCCTGTAGTGTAGACACAATTCGACGATTTACTGTCTGATGTCGGTTGAAGTTGCACCTGCAAGGTAATAGGGTAATATCATTTGAAAATAAACGTCGGTACCATATTTCTAAGTGTCATCCAGAAATATTCACAGAGTCATTGGTATGATAATAGCCTGCTTCATACAAAAAACGGGGGCACAATAAACAGTCGAAGAAGCGTTCATTATAGCTCTCAAAATAGGCCATCTGGGCGCTTAGAATCAAGCTGCTTCGCGATAGGTTCGTAATAAGGTCTATTCCACGCTATATGCAGGTCATATATGACAAAGTGCAATAAAAAAAAGTTCATAAAGGCGTCAAGTAGAAAAACTGAATTAGAAAAGCAGAGACATCTAGCAAGAAAGGAGTAGAAAAGCTAGACTTAAAGAAACGATCCACTGAGCAAAAGGCCATTGTCCTTACATAGCAGGAGAAGCAAACCTACGTTACATGCGTTACAGCACATTGTGACCCTAGCCAACAGAATCATGGAATGACAAAGTACAGAATGGTGAAGGATGAAGATAAGCTGGTCACCTTAACGGAAACAAGAAAGGATGTTGCACTTTTGTGCTGTACTAAAAAACGAAGGCTAAGTTAAGGTGCAACTAAAGACTAAAATGACAAGCCTGAAAAAGGCTCGTCATTCGAGACTTATTTTTTTACGTTACTTTGCGGTTCTTTGCGACGCTAATTTGCGACACTCGTTTAGGAACACCGGGCCTCACACCTAGTATTTTGATGCGGTAGTGTGGAACTGTAGCCACGCTTATTTTCTAACTGCAATATAACTCTTCGAATCTGTTCTTGGTCTTCGGTCAGTATTTGGGTGATTCTCCATCAACCGTTGTCGATAAGCGCTAAAGAGACAGAACAAAACAGGAATATGTAAGAAGGACCTTGGAGAAATTATCCGTAGCGAAAGGATTACAAAACTGAAAAAACTAGCCAAGTATGCAACTGAAATGTGCTTTGTCGTAGTCAGAGTTTTTCTAAGCAGGCTGCAGATAGAACTACTACAAGAGGTCGGCTATTCACAGCGAAGATGTCCCGATCAACAAAAGTCCTTTTTGGCCGTAGACGCTAACAAGTCGGGCTCATACCTAACGATTGTACGAGTAGGCATATGCTGTAAAAGAAAAAGGTGTAACCGATGTGGAGTTCGGCGTCCCCAGGGTCCAGTCTAGGCCCTGCCCGTGAAGTACACCTAAGCTAAAGGAAGAGGCGTCCGCTTAGTTAAAACAGTCAGGTAACGAGTGCCCAAGGGTGCACCTTCGTCTCGTTATACAAGACAAGCCATAAGTACGAATAGCCAAGAGTAGCCAATACGGCCAAGGGTGCAAAGCTGTGTGCACAATATGCAGCATCAAGCCCAAATATTCACTCTCAGAAGTGCGGAAAAAGGAAACTTCTTGTGTCGATGGCCGAGTCGATAGCCCTTTATATGGCCCGGCGCGGACTATTCCAGGCTAGGCAGCACCGCATATAAACAAGCTATTGGGACAGACCTTTGCACTGAAGGTGGCTCACGCATATCGAACACTGAAGGTAACCGCCGTCTTTGTTTTTGCAAATACAGTCTCTTGCAAGCACAAGATCGAAAAGAGACAGACAGTCTAGACTAATTCTAATGTACGAGAAAAAAACATACAAGAACTTCGTAAATGGATCAAACAATCGTATTGTATGGGACTACTGCAAGGTACACGACACGACACTGGACGTATGAAAGCGAACTAAGTGGCCCGTAGGGGAGTCATGTTGATGTGGCAGCGGCTTCTTGCTCTACACAAAGGCCACTGAAGCTAGGCTCAAAGGTTCCTACCTCCCTTTAAAAAGAAAATGGAAAACTCGAAGAGTTAACAAAAGAGCATGTTAAAAAAAATGCGCCTGGAACGGGTAATCAGAGAAAATTACGCAAAAATGAGTTAGGTGATTTTACACCTATCTATCACTTCACCCACCGGCTCACTGTGCCACCTACTGGAAAGCGTGTCTGGTAGAGCGTGATGCTGATGATGAAGGAGATGGAGTGACTATTTAAAAGGCATGGACGTGACTAGACTCGTTTACTTTATGAACTGGTATTTAAGCTAGAAGAGTAACTTGTTCAGTTGATAAAAGCAACTCTAGTAAAGAAAAAGAGCACAGACTCTCCTAGTGGTAGAGGCTGCTCGCGGACTGATAAGCCTCACTTGCGGAGCTCCATGTCAACGGAGTTCCGCTCATTCTGCCAGCATACAGCTTAGCTCGGAGAATCCAGCTGATCGAAAAGCAACAAGTATAAAAATGACAATTAAATGTTATGGCGAAAAAAAAAAAAAAAGGGATACGGTGCTGTGCGCACCGCGCGCAAGCGTAAACAACCATCTTAACATGGGGTCGTAGCTAGAACAATTATAGCAGCGACGAAACGAAAGGACAGAGCGACGTGTGGCCGATTAACTCATAGTAGTCGAGCCTATCCCCTTTGCAACTGTTCGCTAAAGGATGTCGAGTACATGAGTAGTACTGTTGGGAGTGAGTTATTATACTACTATTGCTGCTAGCATTACATGAGCAGCTTATATGAACCCACGAGTGCGCGGTAGGTAAAAGAAAGACGAGGACAATCTGAGCCACGATACAATGCTATCTCGTTTTACGGTACAGGAGGATTATCGTACGAATTTAATATGTTTATATCGATTGTCCTGATAGGTTACATAACATGAACGTCATGCAAAATATACCCGGGAACTATATAACGACTTGACAGATGTGTCGAAATAACCTGTACATCCGATCAAACCGTTCATCTATTTAATCAAAATTCGTATTAAATAGGAGAAAAGTTCACCTGTCATTTTTCAACTGTGCCTTAAAACGCCCTTTTTAAAAGTTGATATGGCGTATCTACTAGAGTACATGTAGTCATCTAAAAGAAAACGCGCTCTTTTCTATTATTTCGTTCTTATTAGATTTTTTTTCCTAGGGACATAATATGGGGCGTGCTGCGGATGCCCTATAGAAATATTAATAGCTTCTCGGCTCTCCAAAAGATCGAAGTAATGAAATCAATGTAGGATTATATAAACATCGCTCACGTATGTTCCGCTACCTGAAATCGCTTAAAGAAGATTACATTTTCTACATGACTAATACACACTCCCTAATCTCGGAAAGCATCAGAACATAAGGAAGCAAGCATCACTTTAGAATATGTGAGGTAAGCAGACGAGCAAATTATACAACTATGAAAAGTGCTTTTTACAAAGGAAACGGCTGATTGATAAATAAATAAACCGCATTACCCATATCACTACTACAAATAAATCGCTTGAAAAATATCGGAAGGGCTTAGTCAGAAAATCTCGGCCTGCCGTACTTCGAGCCATCCCTTAGTAGGCTTAATTTCGATCGAAGGCAGTATATAATGTTTACTGACTACCTTCTATGTGTTGCTTTGCCTAGTGTATTCCCTTTCCATAGTTTCACTAAACCTGAGCGCGAACCAAGAGGGGAGAGTGTGCTACGAGACACGAGCGCCAACCCATTAATTGATCGTTACTGAAAGGTGTTTTGTGTGTGTCTATAGATCTGTCTCAGTGTTAAGAACAACGTCGGCTATCCTACACCACCGTGTGTCAAGCATGCGTGCCATTCATACCCCAATGTCACGCTTCTTTTCTCTTCAGCTGTGGCCAGCGAGCAGTTCCTTGTTTTCAGGAACGCTGGACCATAAAACGGTACTCGACAGATAATTCATGCGACAGCGAAAACACGAGCTTGCTTAAATAGCGTATTAAGGCCAGAAGAAAAGGCGATAGCGAAGAAGCATGCCGTCGCGTGATTTGAACAACGTCTTGACGTTGTAAGAAAGTATTGACGCTAAATTTGAGCGAGTAATGACACCCGCTAGTGAGAGAGAGAGAGAGATACAGCTCGAAAAACAGAAATGATGCATAGGGGTGTTATAAACAAGGAAACCTGGCTTAGTGAATGTACCTTTCTTAAAGGATCATTAGCTGTCCAATTATACCATGCAAAAAACTTGACCTTGTCTGTGTCACTTGGTGTATACGTATTTTCGCTAGACAACGTACACATTATTAGTACATTAATAAACTTTAACGGTTCCATTTACTTTTTATGGCATGAGATCTGTTATGCGCATTGCATTGTTAACTGTGCTAGTATAGTGAGATGCAGCGTATCTCATATGATTACTATTTCAAGCAGGACCAAGGGGTCAGAGACAATTTATAACTAGTTGCCCCTGTAACTAAATTCGGAACACTTTCTGGAATACTGGTTCCGTTGATGTCAACTGGTGTTTTTTTTTTTTTTTTGGCTATCGGACGCGTACGGAGGAATCTACTTTCGTATCGTGTAACGTCATCGCAAAAATGTCCCTAATCAAACCAGGATTTTGAAAAGATAAAGGAATTACTTTATAAATAACAGACCTATCTGCTTATTTAAATATTTACGTATTGACGGAATCGTGCTTTCGAATTATGTTTAACATGGCGCTTGTTCCTGCTGTCGTAATTTTCTACAGATGTGCAACTGTTCGACGGCGGACGTGCTCGTCGCGGATGACTTCTCCGTGACAGGTGTGGAGATCAACGCTTCAGCGAGCGGCGGTGCGTTCAGTGGAATCGCAACGGGAGCTGACGGAAGCACAGGCCAGGGAGCAGTAGGCTTGGTAGGAGGGGCAGACTCGAACGTTCTGTTCTCTCCAGAGACAAGTCTCTGTCTTTTCATAGCCTACACATTTGTATTCTGTTGCTGCTTTTTCGGTAAGTTTATTGTAAGGTACAGCTGCCTGTTCTTCTGCTTGGACTTGCTGTCAAATAGATATAACCGGAAGGTAATATAATAGGGAGAGAGTGCTCTATTTCAATAAATAACCACTCAGTCAGTCATATAATGTATATTCGAGATTACTATGGCTGGATAAATTTTCTTCCGAAGCTTGCTTGCGCGGAACGACTTTAGACCAATATCTTAGCAAAACAGGTCGAGCCAACATTTAATAAGCGTACGCGAATCGCGTCCGAGAAGGGGACTTGTTTCTCAAAGCATATATAAATCAAATTGTCCTTCGTCCAGCGTCTCAACGATGTTTGTGAATCGACGTTTACTAGACAAGCTTACTTTCAATGCAGGTCTGGACGTAGCAAAAAGCTTTTTGCTATGATAACAGAGTAAGTTCTGAACGACTAATTTGGACGTCTACCTATAAAGACCGATTCTCAGCTCGTTACCAACTATCGGCAATAACTCTGCGTCTGGCAGTATTCAACAAATGTCAAGGAGGCGTGTTGAAACCGCAGCATGCACAATAAGTGTGTAGTAATAAGCCGAAAAGACTTCTGATGTTCTTACTGATCGAAACTACTTCTCTGTTCAATAAAAGTAAATGTACATACTTGTTTGCTATGTAAAGTAGAACTTTTTGGCTGTCTTAAAAACACTGTTTCACAAGAACAATATTTCCAACGATGTTCGGTTTGTGCTTGTGAGCACTGCTTCCCTAGAAGCTGTCCCTAGACGTAAACGAACAATAGCATCGTTTCTTTTTGAATAAAAAATACGCATATTGGGACGCTTGCGCCACAACAGTCCAACGATTTCTTCTTTAAACGAGGTGGACGATATCCAAATACTCAAATGGGATCCCTTATAACCTTAGTTCACAGGTCGTACTATTGTACAGTGTACCGTCACACACATCGAAACAATCTTCAGCGGTCACCACTTGATGCTCATTGACGCGTAATATTGTATAACAAAATACCTATACGTGACGCGATACAAAATTAACTCACATAACGCAGCGAGCTGTAGATTCGTCCGGTGCATCCTAATGTCTATTTGAGCCCGAATCAAAAACATCTGTACGGGTAAACATTAAGTGGGTCAAAAAAATGATGTTAGTTTTTTAAACCCTTGAATGTATTTGTTAACTTTAGCCATAAAAGTCTATTTCACTAGGAATGATTCAATAGTATGATTTGGAAATTTACTAGCCAAGTTACCCGCCTAAGACTACGAGCAGCCTCATATGATCAGTTATAGGTGAAGGAAAAGAGGAGTGAACTGAAGAATTGTCACGCAGTGTGCGTCGTTATCACGTTCATTTTGTGGTGCCAGGATATAGCAGCTTGCTAAGATCTGCTTTACTTACCATACAAGCAACGTTTCGTTTCGCAGCGAAGGCCGGTTAAGGTGCTTACAGCCAGCGTCTATAAAAGTTAGACACAGAGTTAATGTGGTAGCAAGGCGACACAGGCTCGTTGAGGTAGTCGGATTTGGTGACGTCCTATCATTGAGGTGTGAAAAATTACACGTATTTGGTAGTTGACAGAAGCAGAAGGATTCCTTAAAAGTCTTTATTTAAACTTACATTGATTCGTCTATTGCCCGACCATATTATACGGTCCTGGTCCTATTGACGTATTACAGTAAGTAAATAATATTAGAAGAATATATAGCCGTTACTCGTAGATTTACACTGTAATATTAGAGTCATTAACAAAGCTCAAAAACACACACGATTGTTATTTATCCACAATATGTTATAGGTCATTAGACGATAGACAGAGTTACGCAGCAGATCGTTTAACACGCTTAGATATTTGAAATTATACGTCGCGTCATGGGATACCGATCGCTTTCATAACAAGGTACTGTTAGGTGGTTTATCCATTGAGAGTAGCTGGTAAAAATCAGCTCTTTCTGATATAATAGTTATCTAAACGTGTCAAGCCTTAACTGTTAATTTTGTCTCGAAAAACATGCGGCTGTACGTCGGTTTACTTTTGTGCTGAAAGTGTATCCCCGTATCTATTTCCTTTTGCTTTATATTTGCTTTTGTACACGCCATAGTGCTAGGCCATAAAGCCTACAGGAAACAAAGCTGTTCACCGAGAATCGTGGGCCAGGCGTAAGCCAATATTTAAGTAGACACGTATATACTTTAGAGCTTTTAGAGTTGAGTTAGAACCAACCATCTATAAACTAGTGAGATGAGCTCGGAGGCAAGACAAATGAGTCTACCCGAATACCTCAGGCAACGACAGAGTGCGCACCGGAAAATAGTGGGCCTACTTCTACTACCGTTAGTGCCCGCATGCCATTATCTCACAGCAAGGAACCTCCAATAGGACGTGCTCTTTTGTGCATGGCGTTGGCCTGCTGTGGAGGACTTTTCGCGCACGGAGTAACAAGTCTATGGCTGGTGTGAACCATGTTCAGACTCGCTTCGTTAAATAGCGAAGATTCCTTTCGTATGCCGGGAATTTTTTGAATCTGCTACTTTTGTTTCTCCTATTGCATCTGGCACTGCTCCGCTATTTTCTTGGATCCTCCAGCCGTGTCGTCCCGGATCTACAAATCCTTTGTCGCGTTGATCTGTCATGCTTTATCTCTTTGATTGACTTACGTCCACTTCCTGGCCGCGATTTTATGCAAGCCTAAGTCGGTGATTGAAGTAAAAAATTTCGCATAAAAATGTATAACGAAAAAAAACTAAATATATTTTGAACGATTTATGTTTTAAGTCAGTTTTTGGCCGACTTGACCACGGCTCGTCCCCGGTGCATTTGGGGCCTCCTGTAAATTTGCTATATGTATGTTATAGTAACAACGCACTAATACGAGCTCAAATGCAGTCCATCCGAGTGACAACTCGTCCTCATGTAATGACAGCGATGAAAACATTTAGAACTAAATTGGTGCGTATTTACCTGCGCTACCGACATACGTGATCTAACACACTTTATGATTGTCCGCACTGGGTTTCGTCCTTATGTGCTTAAACCAAATGTTCTCCTTGGCTGTTGAGATGACATTCATGGACACTTGGGCGTACGCATTTAGACATTCTGCGCAGCCGCTCGCCGCTTCAGTTGTAAGATATCTCTAGTTGGAGTACATCTAACAATATACGCGTTCGTTCCCTTAGGCTTAGACATAGACGCCGGGGCCGATTGAGAGCGCTTAGTATCCCTGCACAGTTTTTCGCATGCCTGCATGTCCACCCGTCTTTTACTCTCTGACAGGTGTGGCAAGACACGATCGCAGCTTCGGTCTGGGCTCGTGTGATACGGTACTGTGTTCGCTTTGATTTGACACAGCATACCATTAACATCTGCTTCTCCCTTATCAACATCTGCTTCTCCCCTATCTGACGTTTACAGGTCTTGGTCAGCCTTACGAACATAATATTCTGCCGCGTGGGATGGTGCTTCTTCTGGAAACTGCTCGAACAGACGGATCTTGAGCTCATCTTACGCCCCCGTGCTGCCCCCAAACGACTCGGAACTAGCATTCTGGAACAGGGCCTGGAAGCAGGCGTTTATGCGTCAAGTTGTAAAAAATGGCGCTGTTCCCGACGTTCTAATCCATTGGCCAGGCCTCAAGTAGTTTACAGATGGTTATTTGAGCGCCAACGAGACTTCTCCCACATTCTCTGAGAAACAATGCGCTACGGATCCTTGCATCGCAGCTTGAGCCACCATCGTCCATCCTTAAATTGGCGAACGATCCGCTCTCCTTTATGTGTCACCAATTGTAATGGCGACGCGCTAATATTGGCGAAAATTCGATTTATTTAGATGTCACCTCCTGATACGGTATATACCAATATCGTTATATATATATATATAGATGTTACTGTTGAGACTGCAAATAACGAACAGATGCCTTGGACGCGATGAGGGTCAAAGCTGTTAGCCAATATGAGAGTGAGTTTCCGACAAATGAAGTAGTCCTTCAGATGTCAGTGGCAGCGACAAAGCCTGAGCCCTTTGAGGAGGCCAAACCCTGACACCTGTTCCAAACAAACAGACCCGGATTTTACAGAAAAACGCCGAGGATGTATTACGTTGATTGTCATAATATGCGGAAATGCTAGGACTGTCAGGGGCAGTGGCAACTATGCACAGCCACCGAGGAGATGAACGCGAGTATTTCCCATTGGAAAGAGTACGCCCACATGAAAATCACGCGCGCGCTATGTGGACGCAGCTGGGCTGATAACGAAAGCCAAATGTGTGGGTCAAACAAACCAGAGGCCGCAGGTTCTGAAAGAGATCAGGGACCACAAGTTAATTACTTCCAACCCAGTTACTTCAGTCCTTGCAGGGGAAGTATGGGAAAAACTCAACACTCACCTATGGGGTAATACTGCATTTTATACTCACATAGTATAGCAATATAAGCACTAAATAGCTTTAGCATGAGTAGCATGTATGGACACGTATGTTGCGCTATGAAAAGCGGTACATGGCAAATGTTATCTTCAGAAGCACATTGACACTGAAATTCTAAGTAGACACGAAAAAGATGCGAAAAAAATCACGGTGTACTTAACAAACGAAGGAAAAGTGACAAACATCGCATGGAGCTATTCTAATTATGGCAACTGCGACACGAATTCCTGATTAACAAAAAATCGTATTTGTTTCCCTCGATGTCATAATTTTGAATGAAAGTGGATGGAAAACGCGACGTAGCCCGCTCAACCACGACCAGTAAGACGCTTGGTCAAAATACCGAACGTTAGATATAAGCTGTGAGTACGCGTGGCACGTTACTATCCCGAATTAAAATTCGAGGAAAATCTAGAATTTAGTCATAATGACCCATAGATTGACTGCTCTGGTTATTTGTACCGCAGGAACGGTGGCTATCAACCGAGTTTATCTCTTCTTACTACGGCCTCTATATTTTGAGTTTTACGTCCGGTATCGCATTTGGCTAGACATTGTATCAAACGGCTGGTTCCCAACACGAAACTTATTACAGCCAGCTGGCCTCTACCAGAACACAATGGAGAACCAATACAACAAAGATAATCTCAAGTATAAAATGCATTTCACGGAAGTTGCATTTTGTCTGCATGCGACCGAGTCACTCCATAAGAGCCGTGGGAAGAGCGTGTAAAAAAAAAGCCGTCGGCCTTTTCACACGAAGACGTTTAGCAACGATGAGATAAAATCTCTCACTAGAATATTTTTTCCTTAGCCGATCTGCACACTTACCGTAGATAGTAGGTTACAACGATAATTAAAACAATGACAGATCTAGCAATAGGCTCAGATTGGATATACCGTTACGTCTTTTGTCCTTATGATTCGGAATCTTGCAGGGAATCTATTGGTTATCCTGGTGGTGTGTCTGAACCGTCGAATGCGAACAACGACCAACTTCTTCCTGGTTAATCTAGCCATAGCCGATTTATGCGTGGGGACATTTTGTGTTTACCAAAACATATCGCTTTACCTGATGGAGAAATGGATTTTTGGTAACTTCCTCTGCAAGATGTATCACTTCGTGCACGGCATGAGCTACACGGCATCAATACTCATCCTAACGGTTATTTCGGTCGAACGCTATCTTGCCATCTGTCACCCGATGTGGAGTAAACGGGTAAGAATAGAATACAAGGTAAAATAGGTTAATAATTAATTTCAACTTTCAATACCGTCTGGTACCACACATCAGATCAAAGGGCGAAGCGATTTGAACGCCCACTAGTGGACGACAATAGAAGTTACCTACAAATTATGTATGATATTATCGTCCATCTCAGACGATTCAAACGAAAGGAGAAAGCACGAAGCAAAGGATATAACTGAGACAACTGGCAGAGTTGACAAGGTCAAATTTGCGCTTGAAAACGCTGAACAGTACTCAGTAGTTGATTTAAGCTATTGCTTAAATATACCGTTGGTGCTTCTGTAATGCCTTTCTGCGAAGAATTCATGATTTTATCATGAACTAGTCATTGAAAACATACCCTTTTCTCATTGGCTTAACTTCCTCTCCTATCCTCTTCTTTTATTTAAGCAGTGATTAGAAAAGTATTATACACCTTTACATCTTAAAATCTGCCTAAATCTACATTTCCTCCCCTTTGCTATGTACAGTTGCCCTTCTCCGACTCCGCATGCGAAGGTGCCTGTTTTTTCTCACACCGATTTTTTGTATTTTAGTCCTTTGCGCTTTGCTCTCTCTCTCTCCATCTTTTAATTGCTTCCTATGGAAACAAAAGCTCTTGACGCCGGCAGAAAGCAGATGCCCATGAGGAGGAGTAACTATCAAGCGTACATACATACATACATACATATTCTTAATTCAAGGTTTACTTATTGTATAAAAGTGATAGCTTTTTTTTTTTATTTATTTCGCGAATTACATAATAACGGGATGCTTCTTATAAGAACATGTGCGTAAACGAATGAACAAGTTTGTCGTTTGGGGTCCGCTCTTAGTCGAGCTCGAGTTTCTTGAAATACCTGAATATGGGGTCACAAAATATTAGTTTTTTGTTATACCTCCCTCTAGATTACTTAAAAAGTGCCGTGTTTCTCCTTCACCCTTTCCTCACTCACGTTAGCAACCCTTTGCTGATTATGCTTGTTGTATTAGTATTTGCTTTAACTGAATGGCAATAATATTAACATGGCGTACAGTACAGCAAGACATAACTCATAGCTAGCGTTTTGAAACAGCCCTAATTTTCGAGCAGCTGGGGCCGGCGTGTAAATATCATTTTTCATCAAGGCTAACGATCGTTATCAAACTAGGACGTAAAGTGTTAACGCTCATATGATTTACCTCATAGGCATCAGATACCGAAGGTGAAACAAAATATCCCAAGAAGTATTCGAGTATTGTTGTGTACAGGGATGTCGATACCGAAAAAGCTACTTCGCCTGTCCTACAGGGCTGATAGCGAACGGAAAAGGCTATGTTGTCTGAGAAACAACGTTGCATATATTTCTTCGAACAGAACGATACCCGACAGACTCAAAATAACGAAGGGACACAAGGTCAACAGCTTGAACAGGAAAACCTATTAGGTTAAAGGAAAATTACGAGTTCGATCGATTAATTCATGATACAATATAAATATACCGGGGATTCAATATAAAAATTTCCCTATAATTTCAATGGATTTGTTTTCAATCGTAATGTTTCAATTTTGGTAAAGGTGCAGATTTTTCCAACCTTCAAATGGAGCGCACTGCCCCTGCCCCCCCCCCTCCCCCCATTTATCTATTGTCTAAAAAATTGCCTAGGTCATGGAAGAATCTTAAGCAAGTATGGGTCGGAGGGGTGACAGTTATCATCTACAAACAAGAATTACAAAAAAAATCGCTGAAGATCTACTATGGAATTTTACTGGCTGCGAGGCAAATAAAACCACAGCGATAATGGCCAAGCTATCGATGAAACAACGCCCTGCTCATCAGCCTCGCAGTCAGCAATACGGTCGTAGCTTGAACTAAGTAGACCTACGGAAGACAATCAAACAGGGCATTCAGATTGTTTCTATGCTGTAGTTGAAACAAACCTGTTATACCGATAAGAACTGAAAATCAACTTATTTGAAAATTCGCGCACCCCGATCTGAGATAACGGCCGCTTCTCGCTGTGGGTAGACAAAAAGCGCTACTCTCCATGATTGCAGAGGCTCGTATTGCTGATGAAAACATGTGTCTCAAAGAGTCTTCAAAACCAATCTTTCATTGAGGAAACACTAGTATTACATGGATGCTCATTACGATGCTCAACATATAGGTACCATGAACAGGAGGCCGAGGATAAATAAAACAAGTTCTCGAAAAACATTCGGCATAAATTACCTGAAACTGCGACTCCGTCTTAATGTCGCCAGTGGCTGAGCAAAAAATTGCATCAAAGAAGTGACAGGGTCAGCAGACTGTGAAATAAGATGGGTGTTTGTCCTATCTGAAAATAAAAAAACAGACATTAATAGGAAGCCTATGTCTTAGGACACCGTTATTCCGTCCAGAACTACCACAGCCTATTCGGTCATATCGGCAGAGACAAAATCAAAAAGTTTGAAGAAGAAAAGGTATAAAAATGAGGTACAATGATATAGATGAGTGTATAGTAATTTATGTCCTTCTAGTAAGCTGTCACTAGGAAGAAAACCATAGTCCTATGTACATCTTCGACGAAGATACGAGATTTTCAAAACTGTACACGCTACGACATCAGTAGCCTAGGACTGATTTGGCCTGACGAAGGTGCTGAATCAGCTTGGGTGAAAATTGATGTAATGGACACTGACGAAAGGAAGGTGTTCAGTGGGAAGGGCGCAGGGGGCATCGTAATTTTTGGTTAGATTGTATAACAATAAGCAATTGTCGAACGAAACCCCATTTGTACCATATTCAATCTACGTAAATGTCAATTTGTTAAAAATGGCTCCTTGTAGTCAGGCTGTTAAAGTGGTTGGCAAGCACTAATTCACAGAACTAATCGGGTTTCCTTTGTTTGCTAGTACTACGACATTTTTCTTTACTCATTTATTGTTCAGTTGATAATTATACGTTTGAATAAATGTGTATATATATATACCTTGCAGTAATCATTTTTTACTAAGTAAATACGTTTTCTATTGAGGCATAACGTTGAATTCGCGCAATGGCTGTATGCGACAGGTAAAAAAACGGTCCGCGATCTACCGTAAAATTCACGAGTTTTGTTTGTTTCAGGCTGTAGGACATATTAAAATTACCTTTAGAAACATAACATATTTTAGTAGTAGCACGTCTCCGAACATTTGTCTAAATCCTTGTTCGTCATATGCTGGGTAGCTGTGATACAACAATTTCTAGTATATGAGCAGTGTTTCCTTAATATTTTTGTTATATCCACATTGAAAAATATCGTAATTTTTTCCAAATCCTATACGATACGTTTTGAAATTGATTGTGCACTGCGTGTTGCATTGGCTTGTCCACAATGACCTAGAAGTGACCCATTTTTTTTCAAGCGGGAAACTGGAAATGAACACCTGACCGCGTTTTGAATTCTCTAATTAACGTTGGGTAAATATATTTTGAGATAATACTGATCAAAAACTAATAACGTAATTGATTTGAAAGATATCACTTTTATCGGATAACGAGTATGGTAGGTCTCAATCTAAAAATATAATTACTATTTAGCTATATATAGCTTTATCAGATATATTTTACATAGAGAGAGTAGATTATCGAGATGTCAACAACGGTAACGCTCATTAAACATAGCATCTACACCAGTGAGTAGATACGTACTTATATTGCCAATGCTATGACTCCCATCTCCGTACTTTGTTTACATTACATTGCTTTTTAAAAACGGTTTTAAATTTCTAAACGGATCTCCTATAAACGTTCACTGCATATTTGTCCGACACGTAATTTATCATTACCGATTGCATTATTATAAATTATCTATCTTTTCATACATTCTGCGGATCATATACGACACAGTTGGATATCCATTGGCCAAGCAGGCAGATCGACTGGTTGCGTCGATGGTAAAATTTAATAATTATAGTCTAACATGAACCGAGCACCTAAATGTGTGGTCATAAAATATTGTCGATGGACAGAAAGCGTGTCGGATTCTCTTATGGTCAAAAAAATTGGCAGACAGAGATAAGTTCCGGGACAGTCAAATGCGCAAAAAAACTACTGAAAAAACGTTTGCATCTCTGAGGAATCGAATCATACTAATTAGATCACTGACACCTCCACATTTCATCATGGTTTTGTTCGAAATTGTCGCTGTATAAAAAGCGAAAATTCCTGCGAGCACGCTGTCAATATTTTTGGTAAATTGAATGTACATGCATCGTGTAACATGTACAAACAACGCCATGCCCCGCCTTTTCATACCTTATATTTCTATCGATTCTATATTTGCAGGAATGTATAAACGCCATTACATACAGCGTTCTCTGATTTTGTTTGTCTTCGATTTTAGTCGAACATTATCATCGTATACTTGTCGCATCGACCATTTTTCCATTATTGAAAACATTGCGTAATCCAAAATTATGAGGAATGCAGGGATAACACGTATAAATCATTTATTTTCCAAGCGGAACTACCTATAAGCTGGTTACATGGAGATCGAATAGGGTCGCAAGCGCTTGGTCGTCGACATAAGTCGGAAATGTAAATCGAAATTTAAAGGGAAGCTTTTGACAGAATCATTCACTGAATCCGCTTTTTGCACTCGCATTATTTACCCGTATTTTTTTTTTTAATTCGAATCGATCTGTCGCCTAACTGGAATAGCAATACGCCATGCCAACCTCACTCAGCTACAAGAATCCATGGGATATGATCAATTTCTTAGGACTAACTGGCCCAATTGCTCGTCGCTGATCTTCTGTGCTACGAGGAGAAGCTGTCGTTTCCCGTCATATGGAAGTCATATCGAGATCGCGACTAAACAAACGCAAATCCCGGATCATCATACGTATAGACCTTTTTCAACTTAACCGGCGGCAAATTATCCGGTCTTAGGTAGCATCGTGTAAGCTTTTCGGCCTGTTTCATCATCAGTGTCTTTGCAAATGGCTTGAACTGGTCACTGACGATGGTAAACAAGTAGGCACAATCTTGGTTCTCATACCTCCTGACCAATCGATAAAATAGAAACTGGGCCAGTTCCAACCCATCGGCATACAATGGTCCTAGCCAAGCGCCGCCGAATAGGTAGGGCTGAATCTTCCCATAGGCAACAATTTTTCCCCTTTGCTTTATGCCTAGTACAATTACTCCTTCCCCTGTCAACTGAAGAAGGCTGTCGCTTCTCTCGAAACCACAGACCTCCTTATCGTACTGGGTTACTAGCCGCAGGTCAGGCGCTGCCGGCGCTATTGTGACGACTTCGAGATCGGTTTCGGGCGGCTTCCGTTCAGCTAGCTGAGGGAACTTCCCGATAAATGAGAAACCATTGGTGTCTTTTACTTCTTTGAATCCTCGTCGAGTATAGATCTGCAGCTTGTTCGAGTCTGAGTTTAATGCGAAATTTGCATTCGGACACCGCGAGAGAGCGTACTGCAATAGTTTGCTGGCAATGCCCTGTCCACGCAACTCTTTCGGAACACCCAAATAGCCTAATACATAAAGCAAATCATTTTGTTTAATTACTGTTGTCATACCTACAATTTTGTCTTGACTATCGACAGCTACACGAAATCCTTCCGGGTCCAACCGGTACCACCTTCTAATTACACGTAAGTCGACTGCAATTCCAACTTCATCTTTCCAGTACTTTGGCAGGTCTTCAAGTTCTTCGGACTTCATAAGTCGTAACGTCAACTTTTCCATGTAAGCCCTCTTAGACAGTTCCTTAGCTGGGGTTTCTGAGGGCGGCTTTTCCGGGCCAGATTTCTCCGCGGGGAGCTTCTCTCCTGGGGGTTTTTCCGCAGGCGGTTTTTCCGTCATCCTTACTGTTTCAGCTACTGTCTTGTGCTAGAAACGGAAATCGAGTAGCTGATATGAGATTGTTACGGACGTCGGCGTAATAAGCAACGGTTGAGAAGGGGAAAAGGGGTGCCACTGATGTTTTAGCGAACCGTCTATGACAGCCTATGACTACAACTGCCCGTTCGTTATTGCCAAAATTAAATGAATAATTGCTAAAAAATTATACGTAGCTCGGAAACGATGTGGCTCAGGACTGTCGCTCATTGAGCCTACACTGGTCCACAGGACGACCAAGTTATTCGAAGCAAAATGCAAAACGTTATAGAAATGTTGCACTTGATCGTTGTCGTTACATTGTGGCCTGTGAGTCGGCCTTTATCTACTTAATTGCCTTTAGACGAGCTGAAAAAGCTGCCGAAGCAAGGCGAAGGCTTTTTAACTGGGAAGACTACTCAAACAGGATTTCAAACAAATATTAGTTGACTTTTTGAGAGGTGGCAAGGATACAAAGAACAAGTCACTTTTTTCAAAGAAGACAATTGCTAAATCAACGCATGTCTTCTGACTGCCATGTCTTCAGAAGCTGAGTTGTTTCCGCAACTCCTTGACATGGAGAGACGCATTGCCTTCTCATCCGACATAATTGTTTTTGGGGCTTGAAGTCAGGGTTAAAATTTTATTGGCCGAACGAAACAAGGACAATAATCTTGTTGAGCAGGAGGAGAGTTATAGTACTTGACCATCGGCTTTCGAGAAATGACAAACCCATTTATCCCAAATACTACGCAGTTGTATCTGTATTTGACGTATTCCTATTTGTCTTTTAGATATAATTTAGCTGCGCGAACAGTAAATACTCTCAATCTGTATGAAGTTCCCAAACCTCTTTTGCTTTTTATATTTTTGCTGTATGCTCTGCTAGAAGTGATATGTCACCATTATTCGGGTTCTTCGAGGGGTTGGTTGTATGCCCTACCGTCTGCCTAGTATATGAACATGTAGTAGTCACAGAAAAAGATCCTTCAAGAATTCTACACCAGTCTCCAGGATAATTGGTAAGGCAAGAAGCCATTGAAAATTGTGCCTGGGTAGAACATATTGAAAGCAGTTTATAATCGATGCATGCAAATAGTCTGCCTTTAACGAAGAAAAACAAATCAGAAAGGTCGATTAAAATGTCCAGTAATACCTCTGTTATTGCTACATTGTATTGCTGACCCAAGTAGTATTTCTGTGTGGGTCCTAAATTGTCATTGAACAGTGGCTGTTTGCATTGAAAATAGAGTGAGCAATTCGTATCGCCAGGCGTATGGCTTAATGGATGGCCAAGTGGTGAGAACTGTTAAACTTGAAGTGACTTTACACTTACTGTAATTTAATTGAAGTCGCTATTGTTTCCAGGTGATCACATTAAACAGGTTACGAATCGTGGTTTGTTTCGTATGGCTTATCGCTGCGGCATATTCATCGCCGAAACTTATTATATACGGTGTCATTAGGTAAGTACAGCACGACAGGCGTAGGCGGGTCACGTTGCGTGCATCGCTGCTACAGCCATCATCTCTACCTCACAACACTCGCGGTACACTCTGTGTAAATGCCCCCAACTCGAAACCTTGAAATCTAATAACTTATCTGAAATAAGGGCAAGAGAGGAAACTTATTCGTATATGATACACCGTAGAATTTGCTCAACCTTTAGTGAACGAGAATAGAAGAGATTACTGAACCTGTACCAAACTGCAATATGTCGAATTCGACTGTAGCATCTTTGCAAAAATTGCATCAGACTTTTTGTGCGGAGATAGTCGTATTCGTCTATAGATATATTTGGTAAACTATCCATTTGGGTCGGTACTTTTTATGCCTATAATGATTACAGTTCGCTTCAATAAGTAAGTAGAACACATATTTCCGGTGCGTCAACCCGTATGATGATGGGTTCATACGTATCTGATGTGATTATTAGGTACGACATCGAGGACCAGCCGGGAGAGTTGTGCGTCATGAGGCGCGAGCGAAAGTCGTCCTATCATCGCATGCACAAAATCTACGATCTTATCAATTTTATCGTCTGTTTTGTAGTCCCACTAGCTATTATTAGCGTTCTCTATACCTTCATTTGCTTGCGACTGTGGAAATCGCAGGATATGTTGCGCACAATACAGCCTAAAAATGAGACTGCAGACGGCAAAGCTACCCTTATTGCAACAGGTACAACGCTCAAAGGTGCTCAAGTGACACTGACGATTACCAATGATTCCCAGCAAGCGAGTCTTGACGACAAGGAGATCTCTCAGAGTATCGGTAGCACTCTCGCCATTGAAAAAGGTCAACACGTACTGGCTACACCTACGCATTCCTCTCAAGTACATCGGGAGTCTCTTTCGGAATTGCCATCGTCACTCAGTCAGCCATTAGCTCAGCAGGAAGTACAGGTCAACGGCAGAACACTCGTAAGTGATACAATAGTACAATACCCGACCTATATTTCAGACGCATGAACTTGATGTTAAGCTGCCTGTAATAGGCATTGGTCTGCCAACAGAATTATGTCAAATATAGACATATTAGCAAGACGCTGAAATTCGTGAAACTCGTGCCCCCTAAAATCGTTTACATTAAACTGATATACAGTCCCTTATTTTTTTAATTTTCCATTGTAAGCCATTTTCATTTTTTTATAGGTAATTTTTAAAAGTGTTAGGGACTAAAATTTATTTGCGTAAATATATATACTTTTCCCTTAAAATTATGAAGCTTATCTACCTGTTGGAAAAAGCGCTCGACGTTTATAAACGAGATACTTCCTTTGTGCAATCTAAATTGCTTAGCCTATAAAAACTAGCACGTTTAGACAAATGACGAGGAACGCTACTTTTCTCACCGACCTAGGTTTTCTCAACGATGGTATATCTTGTGAACCTGCTAACAGAAAAAAACGCTTTGTTGACTGAAAGCCAGCAAGCGAACGTGGCGCCAGGTGTAAACCGGGATGGTCAGCAGGCGAACTTGGACAAAATGACCAATGCAAGGCATCTGATATTAGGCATGTGATGAGCAAGAAAAGCAGAGAAAGGGGCTATAGGTTAGTCAGGCGAAGCAGAATCCGCCTTCTAGTTTTTTCGACCTTTCATGTCTGCTAGAGTTGGTGATGGCAAAGTACCTTATTGACCGTGCAGATGCTAAACAAACTTGCAGATACGAGTGACTTTCTACCCTGATGATTAGGCTCTTCTTTGTTATCCTGTGTGATATCCTTGTCATTAGCAGAAATAAGCCTAGTGCTGAGACAAAAGGTATGGCCAGCTACCGTTTCCCTTTTTTGAGCGTATCTACGTGACAGTTTGGTGGTATTTGCGGCAACGGACGAAAGGAGTATAGGAGGTCAATTGACGCTCGCTCGTAAGATAAGGACCAATAACCAATACGCAACGGTTATCATACTACTGAAAAACTTAGCCAATCTGTCAAATTTGACAATTTTTATCAAGGTTCTAAACGCATGAACGCCTGTACATAAGTGGCCGTTCTTAAGAGAAGTCAGTTCATGCTAAGTTAAAGCAGAACTGTTATACTTCTGCGTATGGACTTAGCCTTTGTGCTATATTACATTTTATAACAAGGACATGCCTAACTGGTACGTTTCCATAGCAGAGCTGTAACGGTGATGACTTTTCGTGATGTTACCGCCCTGTTCCTCCGTCGTAGAGTCAAACGTGTGTTTTTATATATATATATATATATAAAAACACACGTTTGACTTATATATATATATATATATAATGTTACATCTAGCATTCGTTTAAGTTTTACAAACTATTATTTGTTGCATCAGTACCAAAATATCATTAACATAGGCACACTCTATCATGATAACATAATGGGAGATAAATTAATTTCCTTCCGCATTCACACGTACCTTGTGATGTATACGAAATATCAGTTATTAAGTTCCCCGTGCGATATAGTCGTTAGATTTAGGGAAGATTCTTACGGAAACTATTCCTCGAATATCGGCCAGAGATTACTAAAGTATGCTCCTCAATCAAGATCATTTCACACACCGATGAACGGCCTCAGATTCTGCTCATATAGATATTTAATGGTCAGAGATTCGGCGTAGGTAAAGCGGCAGACGATTTATTCAGTAGAAACTTTATATGCATGGATATATTTGATACCCTTCTCCTTCTACCATTATCATTAGTAGGTTTCTAGCCATTGTAATGTTGCATTTAATATAATCACACTGGTAACTGATTTGTTTCGAACTTTGTTTAATAAGAGAGTGAGTGGAAGCTATCAACCGTTACCGTTTGGAAGAATCGGCTGCCAAATTCGAACTTTCTAAACGTTCTATGACGCTCTACATGCTTTTGACACGGTGAAGCTTTATATACACAGCTTAGTACATTGTTCTCTTGAAAATCATTACTAAGAGGTTTGTTTTTTTCAATTCCTATCATTTGAACTGAGTGCACCGACAGACCGTAAATAGACTTACCATTAAAATAGACCTCTAAAGGTGCGACAAGACAGGGAACGCTCAAATATAAAGGGCAGCAAGCATCGATGGATAAGATGTTGACATTATCGACACATGAAAAGTGTTCCAGTAATAGCTAAAAAAAAGGCCATGTGCCCATTATCGAGTTTTTGTCACAAACACTTGCATAGGGTTAGTTGCAAGGGAAAATGAACGATGTTTGATAAATCAATAGGCTAGGTTAACTAATCGTCTATCCGATGAGCGGTGTCCCTGTTAGTTTAAAGGAGATGCCCTTTATAATCAACAACTAATAATAGCAAACAAGCTCTTGACCCCCTATTAACAAGCAATACAACTATATTGAGTATACTTTCAAGTGTTTAGATACATTTCTATTACATATTCATGATCAGTCCAGGTAATAGCTTTGAATACACTGACGATTTGTACCATATTGTTAAATATTTGTAAAAGGGCGCAGCAAAATATACGGGGCATTATTGCCGCCAGAAGTTTCAACACACAGTTAAAACGCATGCTCTGGTGCGTGGCATTTAACTTATTTGCCACTCGCAATGGGTTTAAATTGAAGTTGAACCTTCTCGTTGTACCACAGGACGGAGCTAGATACGACGGCACCATTATGCGAACATATAGTACCTATATATGTTCAGATATGGTTAATTTGATAAGTGAACAGGCACAAGGTTTGTCGGGTCTTGCAATAAGTTTTGACAGATTTCAAAAGAACCTACCAGCCAGCGCAGTGCGACTTTGTAGTAGTTCTTTCAAACATGCATAGTAAATACAGCCTAAAAAACTGCCTGACAAGAGATATTATGCATGTTTTGCTTGAAATGTTTAATCTGCCTGCCAGGGCGAATCTAGATGTCTGCTTGGGTGATTGCGTAACTTCGAAATCCTGTCTAATGTCTTCGCTAATCTTCTGATTAGCGAGCCTACAGGGTCGTTAATGTTATACACAGATTTCGGTTCTAAAGATTCTAGATTTTGAAAAATGGCTGTCTCTATTGCTCATCTCCGTTCTATCCGTTGTTGAAGCATAACGCTCCTCGTGTTATCGGATTCCGCACAGCTATAATGCTTGTTTACAAAAAAAATATGTTCAATATATGTTTCAGTATAGCACGCCTTTACTATTCGCCGACCTTGGATCAGATAGCTTCATTAGCTGAGTACAATATCATTATGTTACATTCGTTTTATAATGCGATAAAGCGTATGAACCAGTTCAGACTTTAGTGATAGGCTACATCTGATAAAATCGTATCGTCGTTTTGATATAAAGAAAGAATAAGGACGGAAGTAACGGAAAGCAGAAGAAAATAACGACAAAAAATAACACGGTTCGCGTAGGACTATCTGAAGGACAGGTTCAGGTAGCATTTTCCGCCCTGTTAACATACAGCCCAGCAGGAGATCTCTTGCACTCAGAACATTATCAAAAGTCAAAAGAGCGCTCGGTCGTCACGGAGTGAGATATAAACATAAAAACTAAATAGTTCGCAAAGGAGGATCGGTACATCAGGTGCATATTTCTGTTGAATACAACTAATATGAACAGAATAAGTACGATCCGAAGATAAGTTTTCTTCCTGATTCTCTCGTCGTAGGTCATCTCTTCTGACTGTCGACAATTTCAATGGTGTTGTTTGTAGATGTACCAGAAACATAAATGCAAAAGTTATTATAGACATGTTCATGTACGAATGCATAGTAATGCTTGGAGCGCGGCTTAAATGAGCTAAAACTTCATAGAAATAAGCTTCCGTTGAACAATAAGACTGACGTATAGAAGACAAACTGCCATTTGACCAGATGCGTTAACGCAAATACAGACCATTAGATAATATATGTACAAATACATGTACGGTGTCCCAATAGAACGTATATACTGTTAATGGGTCATAAGTCTGTTTGACAATAATAACTTAAAAACAAGGAAAATTTACTTTAAATTGTTATTGAAAGTACGAAAATGTAGCAGACATACACACACACACACACATCAGAAAGTTTCAGGCAGGCAGGTTCACCTATGCGGTTAACAATAATCAGTTAAAATATAGGTTTACATCAGATAGAATTGTTCAGAACGCAAAGTTTCGGACCAAGAAACCAAAGAACCAAGGACATCAACGATTTTCGCCGGCAAAGAACAAATGTTAAAAAAGGTATACTAGAACATCCCCAAAATCTGTAGCACAATCAAATTAACCGTCAGCCGCATTTAAAAACAGTACAAAAAAAAAACATATTTTAACAATCGTCCATTGTAGCAATATTATATATATATATATATATATATATATATATATATAGGTCATTTAAATCGATAAAGTTACATTCAAATAGAACTGAACGGACTTATCGATCAACTTAAAATCCGTATAACTACAGAGAATCACCACGTAAATTACTGGGAGGCAATGACGTGGCATTTTGAGTAAATAACGTTCTCTTACTTTGCTTAAATGTAACGGTCACCTACGCTGTAGGACCATAATGTAAGGGTGTATCTTAAAGAGAACCTTCCAAACAGATGACTTCTATAAAGAGAATACCGTTCTTGTTTCCTAAGGGTAAAAATAAAGTCCACGTCAAATAACCAACGATACTAAACGGTTTAGATGGAATAAAGGTAAGCCATAATAGCAAATAAAACGCTAATTGATGTTTATAAATCACTACTCAAAGTTATCGGCAATGTATTGGACAGAACGGTCATAATTTTGTACATATGCGACCGGCCGAAGGTTATACACGTACGTTTAATGTAGATTCGTTTACACATAAATAATGACTTTATAAATAAAAACTGAAGTTTGGGACACCCCGATGAGAAACAATAAAGCCTAGGCCTTAATCATATGTTCGAAAAGATGAACTTGAGTGTCCAAGAATTGCTTACAAATTCTTGCCAACACTCAAAGCTAGCTTCACGTTAGTCTTTTCGATTGAAAATATGATTTTCATCTAAAAATAGACGCGATCTACATGGAGTAAGTCGGCCAACCAATAGGCTCTACCTATTTAGGTGATGTCCGTCTGTTTGTTAGATACTAGTTATTATTTATGTAGTATATTGTTTAATATCGAACAAAGATATTAAACACGGACCAGAAGGTGAAAGAATGAAGAACGCCTAACACTTTGTTATACCTACTGCTAGCCTAGTCACTGAAAAACATGTCCAGTCTTGCTCGTGTATGATAAACATGTAGGCCGATACGCAGATCTACAATAACGTATCATTGTCACTAACATAATAATTGTTATTACTTTTAGTATAATTGACAATCTTCTATGTGTTCTTGTTTGCCTTATCGGTTTTATGTGTGTTTGCAGGTAATCACACCGCCTCCTACGTCATCCCGATCTTTGTCGCCGACATCATTGTCCCGTTTTCGATTTCGTTTCTGCTCAGCGTCACTGTCGTTGAATCGACAGGTTTCACGAGATTCTCCTACAGTGACCGAGCATCGTATTCGTACGTCGTACGGCAGCAGCCAGCGTTCAAACGCATCAATCACCATCCTTCGAGCACGCCGCAACGTTATTCGGTTGCTTGTGGTCGTCCTTTTATGCTTCGCCGCCTGTAATCTTCCCTTCCACGCACGTAAACTTTACCAGAACTGGGGCTCATCGTATGACGGCGCCCGACTGCCGTACGTCGTCATGACAATGGTAACTCATCTTATTCTCTACCTGAATTCGGGTATCAATCCATTTATTTATGCGCTCTTTTCACGCAATTTTCGTCAGTGTATGCGGGACGTGCTGCTATGCAGTATCCCAGCACTGAAGGGGAATACGACCACGGCGACGCAGCTTGGCACCTTTTCGACTAACGGTCACCTTTTCGATGAACGGCGTCGAAGTCGTTTGAATCCAGACAAGCAAGAAACTCATCAGCCTTCACGAAGAACGAGTTTCACATCTCAGACATTTGTTTGTCGCAGGGGTTCCTCGGTCGAAACGAATCGAACATCGAGAAGCAGCACTAAGAACTCATCTCAGAACGTTTAGTTGCTCATACGTAAGAACACTACAATAGCCTCGAGTAGCTTGTAAATAGGCATATCGTTGCGTTGGAAAACATTTCGTCCAGTTACTTGATGGCATTCACTAGGCTGTGTAATATATTACTCATACAGAACTTAGCAGTAGATCGAGTATACGAATTGGCAATTTCTGCTAAACTAATTAGGTAACCATGCCCTCCGAAGCTAAACAGGTCGTTGATTAGTTGAAGTTATGAAGTGCAAACAGAGAGGGAAAAAGAAAGCACAGGCAATGTATATATGTTTGAAAAAACGACGGTGTTTTTTGACAGGGCCGTAAGCGTACAAGCTCGGTACACTTAACTGAACAGCCATCTGACTGATAATAAGTTACATATACGCTATAATTCCACAGTCTGAAAATAGACATACAGTTACATATCTTAAAATGTGACTATTTACTCTAAGCTTTGCATTGTACACAATAGAAGATAAACAATTTTTTCATTTTCACTAAATTACACCTATATTCTAAATAGCTTTTTTAAACCTTATGTCCTTTTTAAACCTTAACATGTGACGACTGTCTTATAGCGTTTCTTGTTTTTATAGGTTTGTTTTTTCTTCTTTCAATTGGTATAGCGTTCGCTATAATTATGCAGCTTTAGGTTTGTGACAACGCTCATTTTCAGCACCCTTGTCGAGGGCTCCTATTATCAGTTGGCTGATGTTGAGTGCTAAGGCGCTATGTGTCGATTAAAATATCTTTATATAAAATGTAAAAAAGAAAACGATAATTCCATACAATATTATAACACAAACTCATAGTCTAGAACGCTAGGTCAACGGCACTGTTGAAAATAGCGGATATAGGAACTTTGCATGCGATCTGTATTGCAATGAAGACCTTCTCCGACCCGACAACACATCATATTCATTACCGTTTTTTTTGCATATGGCTCCCTCTCGTACCCTTTTAGAGTACATGCACATTTGGAATTAGGAAGAAAAATAAACTTTGATATTGCGCGTTAAAAAAATAGAGTAGATAACTTGGAAAAAATTGTCAGAAACGATCACCTTTCTGGTGAATCAATATCTCGAGTCTCTTTCAGCTTTGCGAACTTTCCGTACAAGACACGGGGTGCAAGAATTGGCCATTTTGTCCCTGGTGCTAATTCCTCGTTTGTCATAAATACGTTTCGAATCAATGTTTCAAATCTCCGTGCTTACTGATTAATTTGGGTCTTCTCAACATGAATGTTATATTACCAGGTATATTTGCAACTCGCTTAGGTACTGTTACTGTCAATATAGCCAACCCGTCGCGATCGGATTTCGAGAACACTGATAACATAGTACGTACACAAAAAAGAAAAACAAAAAAAAAGGTTAACTGATATTAGCTAGGTTAGATAGGTTGGTGAAGGAATACAACGTCGACGCTGAAGTTAACCTAAATCGATTTGTTACAGTAAGCCACAAATATATTTTCATAGCCAATTGCTTCTGTAAGACGACCGTGTCAGCGGGCATCTGTTCTTCAAAGTGTGCTTCGCGCGCTTGACGTCAAGCTCATGATACAGAATCGAAACTTACTTGTTGTTATTGTTGTTGTTGTTGTTAAGTTATTTTCAAGCATTTGAAGTCGAAAAGTATTGGATAATCGAATCAGCATTGTAACTGATCATTTTTTAATGCACAGCCTCGTCTGCGGGTTAATAATCACGCCTCGAAATAGCTTATCTGAGCGACCCAGGTAACTTTGTGCTTGTATCGTGCAGACATCTACATCCGTCTTCATGTTTACCCGATCGGTAGTAGGCAAGAGAATCCACTGGAAGTGAATTCGACGCTAGCGCTAGAGGTCGCTTCGGATGCCGATCTAACTAACCGACAATATCAACTGGCCCGCTACGACTATTTGATGGGTCATGTCAGTCTGCTAGCCGGTTACCAGCGTCGCGCCTGTCTTACAATGTCTGATCGTTCTATCTGGGCATACGCGTCGGCCTACGGGTTTCAGCTAAGGTACATGTCAAAAAGTAGGAACATTCCCAATACGAATGATATCAAGCTAACGAAGAGACTTGACGATGAAAGCACGCTTGGTAGTGGGTTCGTGGTACAACATCGATTATAGTCACTTAGAGCTCAAGGTCTCGGTTGATGACCAAACCGGGACGCTATTCATGTCAAGTGGAGTCGACGATCGACAGATCTTTCTACTCGGCTACCCCAACAACTACAATTCGGCCCCCAATTCATCAGCTGAGCGCTAACAATTGATCTCCTCGATATGGGGCTATCCTGCTTCATGGGCACATTGCGTTGTATATATGATGCCTACGAGGCCCTGTAAAAGTGTACAGATTATCGAATAACGAACGAAGGCAAATACCTGGCAGTGTAAATAGTTACTTTGTTCTATTAATGACTTGTACCAGCTGGCTAGACTAAGGTATCCTATGAATGTAGCTAGCAAGTCAAATGAATGGCTTTCAACTCTATTCAATAACATTGCTCGGTGGCCATTTAAGCTTGGGTTGCAGCTGCGGATGAGTGTTTTAATTTTTTTTACTTATTTTAGACAGCATATTGAATTAAATTTGTGTGCATTTGTCTACGGTCACCAATCATTACTTTGTTTATTCCCTTCTGTCGTCTGCTACATGCAAACACTTAATAATTTCTTTTTTTTTTTCCTGTCACATGGTAGAGGACCTTCACAGTAAATTTACCTGATCAGAAAACGCTTGCAAATCGTACCACTAAACAACACCTCAGCGTCAAACACGCGACGATTTTTTTCTCGACCTCATTTGTACTTCGAAACTTAACTGATACCTTTATTTGAATGCGTTCTCATAAACATCGAATGGCATCCATAATCAAGGAACTATTCCCTTCAAATCAGACTGACGCATAACACACATCTAGGTCTTGCAGTGTTTCAAGCTGATTTTATCAGTTGGTAGTATTTACCACAGGACTCGCACACGTTTGCGGTTACCATTCACGTGTAAAGCTCCACAGGATTTTGATGATGTGACAATGAAGATCTGTGATGTAAATAGAAATCACTACCGATTAATAAAATAAGGTACGTTGCTGTCAATGTTAAGTAGACTCGTTGTTTATGAGTACGTTTACAGCGCGATAGGAACAAGGATTTTTTCGACGACATGTCTCCCGTACAGATAGCTTACTTTACAAATGACCTTTTATACCGCCCTAGAGAACTGAATTGTATCTTCCTTTAGACAAAATCGATTATTTTTGATAATCCCTTGTAAAATGTATACAACATTCTCGGTTGTTAGTATACCATATAGCTTGCACTGGTCTAGCTCTTCTAAGACCTCTACCCCGCAACGAAGCTATACCGATCAGTTCGCAGTGTATTGGCAGTGTACATGTGCTATATACTCAGTGCAATATTACCTTCCTTTCATTATACAACTCCATATGCTGAAACGCAAATAAATCGAACACAGTCAACAGGCACCCCTACACGGACATCACATCTTCAAATGTATAGATACTTGTGTGCGCTGAGCGAAGTCTTTAGGTACATCTGTAATTGGTAAAGTTGTAAACATGTAAAGCACTAGAGCTAATGTAAATATCGGATCGATGATGAAAATAAAATACCTAAATTTATCACATAACGAGCTTCTGTTTAAATGCCTAATTATGAATAGATTGTGTCGATTGTCCATGTTGGCAATCGAAGTGGATGATGCTTATAAAATTACAATTGTTATACAATGTACAATTGTTGGCAAATAAACTTCTGCGTAAATAGAACTTAATAACAAGGACATGAGCCCGCATGGTGTCCGTGTTGCCTTAACTCGACTAGCCGATTCCGGTAAAGCAGCTGGTTTGCGTACGCGTAACCCATGACCGCAAACGTCATAGGCTAAATCTCATATATGATTTTCTCGCAATAGGCCCGTTGTTTTTTGTACTTTATTTCACTTGCGTCCCTGTCCTCTTACGTACTGCCAAACGCTGTTGTTCATGAGAAATAATGTATACAAAAGGGTAAGAGATACATATAGATGGCCGGCTCCAACAGCGGACGACGAATGTATGTCTTACATCATATAGTGACACGTGTCAAGTTTTATTTGGAATACTTGATAGAAAAAATAGTAATGTTATAAAAGTCCAGATGGCGCAATTGTGTCACCATTTCTAAACGATGAGGTCATCTACAGAGACAAAGCCTGGTGATCCTAGCCTACTCGAGCGCTCGACTCTTACAGGGCTTGAAAGATGACCCTAAGTGCTTAGTGGTCCATGTCAAAGGAAGAATCCTGCTTGCCAATAGTGACATGAGAGGGAAATATGTATATGCTAGAGGATTCTTTTTCCCCCTATGGGCCTGTTCGATTTCAAACAAATGTCTTATATGAAAATCAATGCAATTGATTTTGTCGTACGACTCGTTCGGAATCTACAAAGGGCATCAACTATGTTTCTACACGTATACTGCTAATCATGAATTCGCTGGCAGGCGCTCATTTATGGTGAGAAATTCTCATTAATAACAATAATTTATAAATTCCCCAAAATAATTTTCTGTAAAAAAATTCTGCACTAATTTAGATAACTGTTGAACCTGTCGCTATTAGTACGCGCCGCGATAAATATCATAAATAGAGACAGGACGAAACACGAAAATATTAAAAACATGAAATAGGCCTTTAGGGAAGAAAGAGAAATTTGAGCCAAACCAGCTTTAGCAACAAGTGATAGTAAAAGCGCGCGACCTTTTAACTTCAAGCCACTGCAGGAAGCGTGTCATAGAGATATCGAAAGTACTTCAGCGACATGTTACGCTGTCGCTTCGTTCTGTCTATTAAAACAGAGGTACATAAAAAAAAATTAGACTTTTCTGCGGCAGTTTTCATTAATAATGGTGAGATGAATGTCTGACGAAGAGGTTGCCTAGTCGAAGAAGACCTAGTTGACATAATTTCAAAAAGGTGCCATCTTAATATATCTATCACCTAAATCAATCGAGCTTAGGTTGTTTGTTCACGTTGTCAAAGCTTGATTTGAGTGCCTATGGGAGCATGCAGCATGAGTATCTATTACAGAAAGTAGCACAGCGAGAACGTTCAAGACCGACTGATGCTGACGATAGCACAATTCTGACGTGGTGCTGCTGAAAAGTAACTTAAATAGAGGTTCAATGAAGAGGAAATTAGCCTAAGTATTGAGGCGGAATAAAGTGTTGAACGTAAAGGAAAATATTATTTTTCCTGGCGTATTTCACGCTGAATAAAACGAAAGCAATTCGAAGATCAGCTATTGAAAAAAATGCAGCGTGCAATTATATCTCTATGGGGTTCACTTCAACGACGGACTTTACTTACCTTTTACGTTATCATATCATAATAAATACTCATTTGTGCATACATACACGTTAAGAACGAGTAATATAATTCTACTTCGATTAATTGTCGTATTCATTCAGTGATGCGCCCAAGTAGGTTGTTTTTGTCAAAATCGAAGACGAAGCATTAGCAGCAGAACGCGTTCGTACATTAAAAAAATTCAGCGTAGCTACCCCCGGAATCCCGCTAGAGCACAATGGCTCGTTGGCAAAGTTGTGGATATCAAATCTACTATTCTTATCAGTAATACACATCCACAGTGGTGCAGTGAGGCTGAGACCTTCGCCGAGGGAAATTTTTGCGCATTTTATTTTATTTAAACCGGTCACAGGACTACATCTTGGACATTATCAGTTATTTCAACCTATGGAGCCTTCGAACACGGAATCCGACAAATCGGGAGGAAGGTCCAGAAATGGACTCGCCCGAACGGTGAATAGTGAATCTGTCCTCATGGCCGCATGAAGTTTCAGTTTTTGTTTGGTGCTAACGTTGATGGGCATAAACATGCCTGTGTGAGAAGCAGGCCCGTTTCGGTGCTAGAGGTAGGAACACATTCACACGAGATCGAATGCTGGCGGAAGATTAAAACGCATATACGGATCGCTGAATCATCCATCAATAGGTACAGCAAGTGTGGAGGGCCAACATTGCTTTTCTGCCAGTATCCGATTTAATACTAATCTGAATAAGTAGAGATTTCTGCCCTTATTGTGTATCTTTCTGTTAAATACGACTTCCACCTCATGACACTTGGCTTGTTTTCTACTGTTTAGATTTGCTGTTTCTACAACAAGCTAGAAATGTAGCTGAAAACTTACGTACGAAAATACGCGTGACACACATTGATTAAATAAATAACATTAATAACACGTTATTGATAATTTTACATTGTAGCATAATACAAAGTGGGCTATTTTTGAAGCCATGGCCATGCCCTGCGGCCTTTCTTTAGACAATATAGGCAGTATGGAGCTTTTTGTCAGAGAAAAGGTCAGTATATAGTACTCGTTCGTCGAATTTTACCTCTGTAAGACGTGTGCTTACATCTACCCTTCATAGGATAAAAACAGTTGGATGTATTTGAATCCTAGATATAGGCTGAGTGGTAATCGATACTCTCGGCTGTACCAGCCTAACAGGGAGAAGACTAAATTCAGACTAGCGCTAGTTAATGGTTGGTACTTAACTTATCAATAAACTCTAGCTACATAGACAGACTGCTTTCCCGTGCTCTGGCTGTAACGATTATGTGCCTATTACAGCGACTTTTCCTCTTCGACGGTTTTGTTTAAGAGTTTTACCGAAATTAGACGCATGCTATCAGACACATTGTCTTTACATTCGCTTTATTGATCCATTCCGGCCTTCGTCGGCTCGGTACTAATACAGTTTATCCCTCGACAGGCTGTTCCAAGCGAATATATTCTTATTCACAGGTAATATAGGGGCTTTAGGCTTTAAGTAAAACACATAGTTACTAGTAAATGCTAAAATTGTGAGTAAATAAAAACATATCTCGATGAATTCAGAGCTTCCATCCGTGGGCCTAAACTATTTAATGATCATTTCCAAATTCAAATAGCTTTCCGCAGTAAGTGTTCGACAAGCGACGTTATTAGATATAATCTTGTTAAAATGTCGTTAAAGTACTTTTGAAAAAATTAACTTTTAAGAACACAGTCAACAGCTATTGAACAGGTAGAAACATATGGTTAGCTTGAACTCTACACAATCCTTTACCTGTTTACGGATATACCCTGATTGAGATGGATTAATGGAAGAGCGACTAGGTAGAGACAAGGTTATTCTTTACTACGAAGCGGTATTTCGCTGGCATTCGGAAAGTGGGTGGTAGGATTCAGCCTGAGCGTCAGACGTTGGTTGCTGTGACGCATCATTAGCATACGCAAGAAAGGTAACGTGCTACTACAAAAAGGGTTTTGGCCGCTAAATAGTAAGTTCTCGATATTGTATAGATTATACCTGATGTACAGAGCGTAGATTAATGAAAAGTGTAAGGTACTTGCATCCGATAAGCACGTAACGCATGGACAACCCCTGCGGCCTGCAGCTATATGGGCCTGTGAGGTACTAAGCAGTCGTGGACTGCACTTCTTAATGAAGACTTTTTTTCGGAAATTGACTTCTCACTCTTCCAAACGAGATTAGGGCATTTGACTGATACCTACGGCTTATATGCTATGGCATATTGCAGGAAGGTTGGCTACTTGTAGACACATAGGGCGTTATTGGGGGCTAATGGCACCAACAAAGCTGCATTGAGAAACCAGGGTAGACCGGAAAGACGCAGTTCGGTAAACATCGACTTTGGTCGAGGTTCATGGAGTTGAAAATGCGGCGACACAAATTAGATTTGAAATGATTTTAACTTAAATGTATTTGAAACCAGTTTAGCGTGCAGCGATAAGTATATTTTAATTAAAAAATAGTTCTCCTTCATTTCATGGGCGGACAGAGGAAGTGCCAATCTTGACTTCCCGACTATGCTGTCTGCTGCTTCTGCTATGCTGGCACGGTCATTTCGACCATCCTATTTCATGCCGCGTCATCTTACAACAAGATCTTGACGTTCTCCTCCTTTAAAAAGACACCCTTTCAGTCCACTCCCATCGGTAGAGGTTCCCATATTCCTAGCACACAACTGTTCACCCGTCAGTAATAAGTGGGAAGTCCCTTTGTTTGACGTTTGGAGCAGCTACCATTACCTCTGCCCCGGCCTTCCTGTCACCTTCTCCAGCCTTGGCGACAAGCCTAGCCCGATCGAAAGTTCTAATCGTTAGCAAGCGTAATAATCTCCTATAGTTCTCAAGGGACAACTGTGTGGTCGTGACTCGAGTTCGAAGTGCGGCTTGTGGGTTGAACGAAAACTGGAAAAAGTGGGGTCCTTCCAATGGCTATCGTGGTTTGACTACCACCCACTTTATCGAGAAAGCAAGACGACCAGGAACTGCTCGGATTTCTGATGCCGCCGCCGCCGCCGCCGCCGCCACCCTTACTCGTTCAGTTAGTGAATATCTGCTTCTGCTGGTTTGTATGCGGACGTTAGCTACCCAGCAAGGCAAAACAGTGGTAATAGTTCTCTTTCTAGTTACTGAGCGGAGAACGAAACAAACTTGTGAAAATTCAGGAATCTAAAGGGCAAAGAAGTGTGCAAGGTCAGAGAAATACTTAAAGATAAAGATAAAATTATATG